CAGAAGATACAGGTGTTTATTAACAGTTGTCTACGTCAAATACTTCGGATCCGTTGGCCAGGCCCCATCAGCAACAACCTACTGTGGGAAATAACAAACCAGATTGCAATGGAGGAAGAAATCAGGAAGAAGTGCTGGAAGTGGATAGGACACACATTGAGGAAAGCACCCAACTGCGTCACAAGACAATCCTTCACATGAAATCCTGATGGCCAAAGGATAAGAGGAAGACCAAAGAACACATTATGCCGAGAAATGGAGACAGACATGAGAAAAATGAGCAAAAATCGGACAGAACTGGAAAGGAATGCTCAGGACAGGGTGGGTTGAACAATGCTGGACGGCGGCCTATGCTCAATTAGGAGTAACAGGCGTAAGTAAGTAATATTTAATCGAAGTTATCAGCGGCATGTTTCAGAACGAGAATGTTTTCTCAGCAATACTACCATTACTTGTCTACTTTTATTTTTCAATTGAAAATGTTAAAAAATAGTTTCACTATTCCGTTGTTTTTTGTTGAATAAATTAACTTCTTTTATTATTCACTTGTTCTATTTACCTTACCGTTACTTATTAAATTTAATGTGGATAGATTGTACTAGATTACATTTAAATACATACATATAAATTAATGCATATGTAGACATATATATATATATATATATGTATACTCATATCGAATAAATACATGTGCTTAAACTGATGACTGTTCCTGTTATAATAAAATAAAAAGAAAAGGGAACAGGACAAACATAAAAAAAAGAGAATTTTCACGATAAACATTATTTTCTGTATTGGCCTAGTTTCTAATTGGCTAACGTTTAGATGGATATTAAAAAGATAATATTATATCAACAAAAAACAAACAAACAACAAAATGCAACAGTTTATAACAGTAACATCTTATTTATTTATTTATTTATTCATTATTTAATATGTCACTAGTACCGTATAAATTACCATAAAAATGATCCCATTTACATGGATAATTATCAACAAACAAACAAAAAATTTTTTTTAGAAATTATTTATTTCATTAAACAAGTGAGCATTACCATTTTATGAACAATAAAATTTGATTGGAAGTTCATGTTATGGAGTTATTAATTTTGTCTCTACAAATATTTGAGTATTTTCTACAAATGACTTTATTAATGATATCAGTAATTAATTAATTAATTAATTAATCAATTTAAAATTGAATAGTGTTTTATACATTTCACTTAGTAACTAATTGTATTATCAATTACATTATATTAAATTGAATAAATAATTGTAAAATAATTATAGTAAGTCACTTATATATTTACTTATTATTTATAATTAAATAATAATAAATTGAAATGTTTTAGAATAATTGTATTTTCTCAATTATTTTACAATCGAAATCTAATAGACTATTATATTAACAGATTAACAATGTAAATGATAAAAAAAGTTTAGATTTATGTAAAGGTATGATAATTATTTTGATTGTTTTTTTTTTTTTTTCTATATCGGACAAAAGTGTAGAAAGTTTTAAGTGTTTTAAGTAAGGTATAGTAACTAAAAATATGATTACACCCACAGTTTCATTGATATATATGTATATAAGATATATTTGGGTAAAATATAAAATTAGGTCATTATAAGGGATTTATTAGGTGATGAACGTGTTAATTCTCAGTGTGATGTTTTTTGCTTTATTCAAATAAGATAATTAAAAAATAGTTATTATAGTGATTTACAAATATAAAGGATGCTTAGATTATTCTATGAAATTCAGAAAAAACTATATTCATCAATAAAATTATCTATCGTTTTATAGATATTCATTATAATCATTTTCACTAAAATTTACAGACCAGCAAACAATTAAAACTATCTTTATAGTATATAACATGAAACATACATTCATTTTTAAGGTTGACAAAGTAAAAATATTATGGTTTGTGGAATTAAATGAATTCATTTAAATTTCAACCGATATTCATTATAAAAAGATATAAGGTATTGTATTAAGCATAATGAAGATTGACATTTAATTATATACGATACATAAAATGAGGTTATATCAAAGAAAGTTGCACAGGGTACTCAAATATGTATTGAGCCTATTCGAATTCCAGTCAAAAACTATCATCGACTGGATATTTCAAGTCATTTTATATGTTCAAAAAAATAAACAAAATGCGTGTCATTTTTAAATTTATGTGAAGATGCACCATGTAGTTCCTTTCTTCATTCTGGTGAAATTTAATATATTGAATATCATTAATTCGTGTTTAAAACTCTATCTTAGTTAGCACAAAAGTCTACAAAATATACATCTAGTACTTCTATATTATGATTTTGTTCAAAATGAAACTTAAATTCTGAAAACAGATTGTATATATTAGATCGTTTTTTTTGGAAAAAATACAACTATTTACTGAAAATAATGTTAGGTTATAAAAAAAAATTGTTAAAATGAAATCCCTTCTTATAGGTTTGTTAGGAAATCAATTATGCTCCAAGTGTCTATTTGAATCACTTGAAAAAATGTTTCTTTTGGTTTTTAAATCTTCAACGATTGATTTCCAAGAATAAATTAAAAAATCGATAAATCATTACGTGTTGAAATAAAATTTCTGTTTTAGTCTCCATTCACATTTGTTGAATCCTGAATCAAAAAAACATCATAGTACAAGTTTGATCGAAAGTCATGTTGATTACATTATTTCGTTGTTATTCGGAATTGGTAATCTTGAGTTGGGTTATTAGAGGTTAATATAGTATTTTCAAATGAAAGTCCTAGGATGGGCTGTTGAAAGATATCCAGTTTGTTTATTGATTCGTAACTCAAGCTCTTAATATATTCTAAACATAGTTACTAAGATAATTTATGTATACTTAACCAATCTAAAAAAGTTATATAACCCTTTAAAGAACTGTTTGTGTGGATTCTAGTTTGAATATGACTAAATACAAAAGAATTAAGTGGCAATGTTTTTGGATACTGAATCAGAACTGCATACTTATCACACCCTGAAAGTTAAAACAAAATGTACCTTCTATAAGAACACGTTTAAGTGATAACTGTTTAAAAACATTCAAACTTAAAGCAACTGATCCTCAATTTCACAAGTTTTCTTTATTCGGAAAGTAAAACTGGTAAACGAAACGGAAAAATTTCAGTCTATTAAGAAATATTTGCAGTAGCTAATTGAATATTTCATTTTATTCATTAAGACAAAAATTTATTTCAATCACTGAACCCAAATGTTATCTTCAACATTAAGAAAGTATAGTACAATTTTTGAGATCATTCGAAATTAACTTTACATTCATCAATCAAAGTACTATCAAAATACTTTCAACAAACATCAGAAATCAGTAAGTGACCTTTTGAAACGTAATAAATAAACCCTGTGTCTATCTGATAAGATAGATTTATGAATTTGATTAACTAGTAAATTTATTGTCAATACAAGGCAGGACCTGGTTATAAAAATAAATATATTTTACAATAAGTCTTCAAACTTCAATGTACAAATAATCACTAAATGTCATCAAATAATTTGTCAACATAAATTCGTCACTAAAAGTTTGTTAGCATACTGCTGTGGTTTCAGTGTTGATATATCTTAGTCTTGGGAAAAAAAGAAATATATTATGTGATCAACAAGAATGATCAGTTGTCTTAATGTACCTAAGCGATTATGATAATGTAATAATTGTATACGGCAATATGGTATTGTTTGATAAAGATAATATTTTTATCTTACTGTAAACTTAATAAAACTAAAAATCAATCATAAACACAATCACATATTTAGGAAAAGAATTTCAACTGTAAACAAACATTACAGAAGCGCAACTAATTATAATAGAACCAAATAAGAAGTCAATCTATATTGTAACTAAATGTATTAATTAGTAATTGTTTTACAAACTGACCACAAACTTTCTGGAAATGGAAAACGATATCAATCAGAGATTTCCTACAAAGTTAATTGTCACTTTATATGAAAATATTGTTTACTATGTATTTTTTAGGATTATTTATTGTTGAAATTCACTTAATATTGTGTTCTTGAATCTTCTCATTGATGTTTGAGATTGCAATTGATCAGTCTCTTATTGGCATATGTACATACTGTGCGTATTGCCTCAATATTGCCTTAATTCAAAAGCATTATAAAGAAAGATGGAACGAAGCAATACGCACTGTATGCACATATACCAATAAGAGACTGACCAATTGCAGTCCTGACCATCAATGAAAAGATTCAAGTAAAAAATACCAAGTGAATTAAAACTTCACCCCATTGCACAAGCAGGTGACTATCAGGACTCGGTGGCTAGGTGGATAATGCGATGGCGTTTGAAGCAAACGGTACTAAGGTCGAGTCCAGGGGTGAACATCAACTCTGAAATGTAGGTACATCCAGCTGACGTGTTTCAAATAGAACGAAACGCACTTCCTGGATTCCACTGCCAGCCACTATCTATCTTTGCTTATTTATTGTTCATTTTCAAAATGAGGGATATAATGTTAAACATTCCTGAGCATTTTATTAGTTTTTAATTATAACATTAAGTCAATGACTTTAACATTTTAGTACAGTTACCTTTTGTCAGCTTTAACAAGTAACCGTACATAAAACAACTTACTTATATTCAGTACACTGAAAAGGTGTAGATTATGGAAATATATTCAAATATATGTCAGCAAAGTATATGCATTTAATCCCAAGAATGTTACTGTGTTGGTTGATGATATTTGGATGGATATACATTGGCTCAACAAATTCCGTTTCAATTTTGGCATTGAATAACTATTAGTTGTTTTATTTGTCCAACAAGGTCAGTGAATGAGAACAACTATCCTATCTGAGAAGTATAAGTGAGATTCATAGATATCAACAGTACAAACACGTATCAAATAAATATCATGGATAGGAGGTCTTAAATATTGAATAATAAATTTTTATGCTTTTATAAGGATAAATAATAAACTTTTAACATGTTTTACATACCTTTGGTTTAGGTGGGCAACAACAAATAAGAAATGGAAAACGTTTCTCGATTTCCAAACGAAATTTAGGATGTTTGACTGCATATACAATAGGATTGTATACAGCAGATGTTTTTGCAAATAACACAGGGAGCTCAGAGTGAAATGGAGTTAACGAATCTCTACTCCCAACCAGTGTCATTAAGCACACAATGGCATAAGGAGACCATGACATTAAATAGAGAAGAACAAGAATAATAGACGTTTTAGCAGCTTCAATATCTGCCTTCTTATCACCTAAAAATATCAAAGCAAAGTAATAACAAAGAGTTCATGAGATATTTGGCCATTCATGATCTCGAAAAGGAATTTATTCTTTTGGAAAAACAAAATGCCTATTTATGATAAATACTTATCATACTAAAAGTGACTGAAGTTCGATCGCATTAGGGAAGTGTAGCTGATAATTAGATAAACTGTTAACTGAAAAGTCGTGAGCTGAAATTTAAGTAGTACTTTAAGAGGCCATTTAATTTGAAAACTTTATTTTCAAGCTAATTTTCTCAGATTTATAAGGTCTTGAATTATCTTATCTCATCCTCAGATCACTTACTGTTGACATTTATAATGTTTAAAGAAGACACCAAAGGAACATTCAGTGCTTATCTAATCAGTAAACTTTAAACCAGTTCTTAATATTAAATACATTATTTATCGTTTTAAAAAGTTTCAATTTTCTAGTGTGTGTGTTTCGTCCTTACTACCATAAACCTAATTCGATCAAGATTGTAAATAAATCATCAATATCTGTATGTTGCATCACTTCGTACCAAGTTAAATAGATCAACCTTAATATTGGTTTATGATGTTAACTGAACTAAGCCACTCAATTTAGTTCTAAATGTTTTTTAAGTTAATTCACTCACGTAATCAAAGTTTATTTATTTATTTATTTCAAAATAGTGACCATAAATTGTGCATAATATTGTTAAATTAAGATTACTATAGTTCATATGGATGATTAACCAGTATAATAAAGGGCGGCCTGCTTGATCATCTGGGCTACCTGTTCCTGCCATCTAGATATTTCAACAAGTTATCTATTTTTGTTTGTTTTAATATATCATCATGTTTATTAATCGCATAACCTATTCTGCTGCGTTTCTGAAAAGCGTACAACCTTTCGTTGTCAAAGTTACAAAAAACTCAATAAGAGACAATGTGGTTGCTGGCAATATACAACGAAAAGAATGCACATTATGCAGATGTTCATTTACTGAACTACTAACATCTAGCTGGCGATCACTCAATATTTATCGCCAGGACCGACCAAGAAGAAAGAAACGGAAACTTATTGAAATACTTTACGCTGAGAATTCTATATTGTACCAAAAATATAATATTGAATAAAGCTGATAATAATAATACTAAATGACCGAACATGGATACTATTAGTATAAAATATAGTTTCTATAACTATACATGAATTTGATATTATAGTTAAATCTAATTGCATTTACTTTTTTATTAATTTACACGGAACGAATAAATTGATCAACATGATGAAAACTATAATACACATAGATTAGTAGCCTTTTTAATTCTTTTCACCAATAATATAATAATTTTTCTTAATTATACATTAAGGTATAAGATGGAAGTATTATTGTTGCCAAAAAGCCATATTTCCAATTTGAGTTGTCATTGAATTCAGTAAAACATTAAAGTGTTGATTATTGATATGGTTAATTGAATTTAGCTTTCAGATATTTTGAACAATGTTGTTCCAGGAGAAAAATATAGATTCTTCGAAACTTTTGTTTTACTGATTACAGCAATGATCCTAGAGTCACGAATTCGTAACAGAAAGAGCTTTGATCTAACAGTTAGAGGTATGAAATATAAGTAGACACACATAAATTTTAAACAATCTGTAAAATATAACGTTTCTAAAAATGTTTTGTTTAGTATTTCACTTAATAATAATATTACACGAATATCATCCAACTTGCCTGTTTTCATAGCCGATGGATTTTGTGCATTTAATGATTGTGCCATTTTCATTAATTCTAATTCATTGAGTCTAACTGTTTTAACAATTTGATAGTAACTGAAGATTATAATAAATACAGGACAAAGAAATCCCAATATGTATAATCCTGCATTGAATATTAAGTTCGGTAAGTCGGTTGATAGGTAATCAAAAGTACAAGATGTATGAAAACCTTCAGGTATATAACTTCCTGAATCATTAAATTGTCCATTATAATGATTTGCATAGATTGTAAAATAAAATAAAATGAATAATAAATATTGAAATCAAAGAATAACTTAGTCTAAACATTAGATAGAAAATAATGAAAGTGAAGGACATTAAGAGTTTATTCTTCATGACAATTTATAAAACTTAGAATATGTTTAGAAATGGTTTATATTTAAGCATACATATTTCCAGATTCAGATCTAACACTTCAACGATATATATATATATAGGTTTCATTTAGATTAATGTTCAAGTGAAGATTTATCTATAATGTTCAGAAACCGTATATCAACTTTTGAATGTATACGTCAGATTTACTTGAATTTTCGTTTTATAAAAAATTATAACTCAAGGTAAATGATATTGTTAATACTTTTTAGTAGAACCTTTATTAAACCACCTGTAGAATAACAGTTTTGTTTGTATATGACACTTCATTACATAATATTTATTGATTAGTTGATTTTTGTTAGGCAAGAACAACAAATATTGTGAGGTGAAGTTAATAATTATTATTATTATTGATCGTTCGAAAAGAATTCTAAATCTTATTCACTTTAACAACCTATTTGTTTACAACATCATCATTATCAATATGATTGCAGCTATTTCAAGACTATTATTGTAATTATTGTTAATTTCATCATTTTGTCTACTTTTATTAACAAACATTTGTACATACCTTTCGTGAATGACTGTCATATCATTTTTATGCAAGTTCGATTTGTGTAATTATGAAAGTACATTACTAGTAGAGTGAATGATTTTATGAATAACTTTTTACAAGTTATATTCATGAAAGACTTCTTTATAAAATTTCTATGTATCTGGATGATTTCAAACACATCGATTGAAATGGATTCTTTCTATTCTTGTTTTAATAAAAATACTATCAAAGAAATAAATTGTATGAAATCAGTTAAGTGATTCGCTTGGTATTGTTTGTCTTGTATCTTCCTATTGAGGTTTAAGACTGCAATTGATCAGTTTCTTATTCGCATATGTGCATACTGTGCGTATGCCTCAATATTACCTTAATTCACAAGCTATTTGTAAGCAATGATGGATGGTGGCTAGCAGTGGAATCCAGGACGTGCGTTTCATCCTATTTGGGACTCGTCAGCTGGATGTACCTGCATCTCAGAGAGTTGATGTTCACTCTGGGACTCGAACCCAGTACCATTCGCTTCAAACGCCATCGCGTTATCCACTCAGCTACTGAGTCCTGATAGTCACTTACTTGTGCAATGGGGTGAATTTGAATTCACTAGATATTGTTCTGCTTGTATCTTCCCATTGAGGTTTAAAACTGCAATTGATCAGTCTGTTATTGGCATATGTGGATACTGTGCGTATGCCTCGATAAGTGATGATTATATAAAATCAAAAATGATATTTATTCATTAAAAGCAATAAATTAATGTATAAGAACATGTAATTCAGTGATTCTATACTAATTCACATAATATTGATGGTTTACTCTTATATTTCTATGACAATACTCATTGTGTATTTTCTTAAGTCATCACGTATAGAAATTAGAATACCGCTTATATTAAAATTGAATTTCAGTTTACTTCTTCTTTGATCCATTTATTTTATGGGTCACAAAAAGGATATCAATAGTTAAGAGAACTATGAATGAATTTTTTTTAAAATTATGATCCTATTTTGTTTAAAGATTGGAATTGATAGTTTTTCTGGAAAACTGAAAAAACAATTTTGTGCTTGAGAAATCTCATTCCATAACATCTTACATGTATATGGATACCAATACACAAATGTACTTCATATTTTTTGAGAAAAAAAACACAAAAATTAGCATTTATAACATTTCATGCTTAATGATGTTTGTAACGTTAAATAATCATTGTAAATAATGTTCTTGTATTTTTTCGAAAGTTTTGAAGATAACATTCTAGAATGATTATCGTATAAACAATAATTTAGTATTTATATTGTACCATTTAATTAATAAGATCGTTAGATAATTCTCTAACTAAAGCTCTTGTAATAAACTTATCCTACATGTAAAGAAATATAAATCTAAATGTACTACAATGTTTAGCTGTTTCACTTTCTTGGTATAATTTCTGTAAATCTACTGATTATTTGATTATCCAAATTACCGGTTAATTTATTTATTGGCGTTTTATCAGTGGAAATATACTTTCTTGAAATAAATTGGTGATGTTCTGTCAACTATTTGAAAAGGCATTTATTAAGACAAGTTATATTATAATTAGAAATCCTATAATCAGAAGCTGAAAAAGAAGTTCTGAGATGATTATCTTAACAACTAAATTTAGGTTAGCAACATATATGCAAAACGTATTCGGTGTTCTACACAATTATAATGAAAGAAATACATTTTTCTTAACAAGCCGTTGTAAAATTTAATAAAAGTCATTGATGAATAAATACAGAATATTTGATGGTTAATGGCTATTAGATTTAAAGTGAACATTACTTCGATAGTTAGTTTGTAAAATGTTTGCAGTTACGTTAATGTAATTGAAATCAAAATATTTCCTTAGAAATTTTGGGATAATATTCTTCTATAAGTCAACGAATATTGATAAGTTCTAAATAAAAAACATCTTATTTAAAACAAAAGCGACTCATAATAAACTAACCATAACCGAAAAATGGTGGAATTGACCATAATGCTGACCATATCCATGTGATAAAAATCATAACTATAACTTTTCCATAAGTGATACGAGAAAATGTTTTAAATGGTTGTGAAATTACTAAATATCTATCCAAAGCAATAAAAGCCATTGTTGTTAATGAAATAAATCCAAATATTGAACCAGCAAATCCATATAACTCACAAGCTTTAGAAATGAAAAAAATATATACTTTATACCCATTAACTGTCAGTGTATAAACACAAGTAAAATTCCAAACAACATCATTTGTAATTTTTTTTTCGTTACTTAACAAAATCAACATTGTATTGTAGTTTACCGAAGTCATTTGTAAGGAATAGAACAAACGAAATATGCTTATCTTTCAAAGCCTGGCTTCAGGAATTAAGTACATTTATTACTTTAGTTCATGATCAATTATCCATCTAAATAAACTTAAGCAGTTTCACAGAACTTAGTTTCAGTATATTGGACAAATATTCGTTTATTCTATACAACAGTGTATACGTTTTTGGAATAAAAATATAAAATACAACTTGAATGCGATCATTTATCTACACGAAATTATTGTGATAAGTCATTGAGACTTATTTGGACCTACCGCATATTGTACGATAAAATCTATGATAATCGATAACCTGTAGTGTTACAGATGTCACTATGAGTTCCTATCCTATTTTATAATAATCATCACCTATTGAATTAAACATTCGATCACAAATAAAACATAATTTTATTTGATTTACATTAAACATTAAAAGCAAATATTTATGATTAGTTTGCACGAAAACAGTTAGTAGATGTTTTCCCCATTTTTGTGTACATTTTACTTACTCAAATATCAATTATATTGAAATAAAGTCCTACATAATTTTATATATTAAACAAACGTGAAAACCATAAATATGATTTTCGACATTTGAAATAGAGAAAAACACACACAGAAAAAGAAATCAGATAAATGGCAGTAAAGATTCTACTCACCTAATTTACCCCATCCCCAACGTTGATTAAATGAAGCGATTGTTTTTAGTGGGAAACCATTGATAAGTGCAAAAGAAAAATCAGAGATAGCTAAATTAACTATTAGCATATTTGGTGGTGTTCGTAATTGTTTACATCTGAAATATATAGTTAAAATTAGATACATTAAGAAATTTTTTATTACATAAAAGGATTGTTTGTTCATTTTATACGACAGACTAATTATTAAAATGTATAACTTTTGCCAAACACTATATAGCTTAAATATAGATTCATTTGTTTACCAATAAAAATGTTGAGTTCATGAGTCAGTTTAAGCTAGACCACCATGAAGAACCTGGAAGCACTGGACGACCTTTTCGCCCTAGTACGGGACTCATCACCAGCGCACACATACGGTCTAGCTCGCCTGACTTGAACCCAAGACCTCTGGTCTTGCGTGCGAATGTTTAACCTCTAGACCAGTGAGCCGGCATCTAACGGTATTAATCTCCAACTCCAACCAATCAACGAAATTGGGCCACCATTCATCATTGTCATCAAGAGGTATTTCATGTAGTTCTAGTGAGAAGCAGTGACCAGTGGAGTTCAACCGGTTCTGTAGTGAGATAGTAACTCACTGAATACAATCGTGGACGTTGATGCAATTTGGTGAACTAGTTGAAGTTAGACGTTAAACTGTTGGATGCCGGCTCAGTGGTCTAAAGGTGAAACGTATGTGTGCGAGACCAGAGGTTCTGGGCTCGAATCGCGCGAGGCAGGATCGTCGATACGCACTGCTGAGGAGTCCCATACCGCAACAAAACGGCAATCCAGTGTTTCTATGTTTTCAATGGTGGTCTAGCTTCAATTGTCTTACGAACCCAACTATTAAATTATTACAATGTTCACAGAAACCCTCTTCTGATAAAAATGTTAAGAACAATGGTCACTCTTAGTCTTCAGTGGTTCCACTACCTTATGACACATCAATCAGTCTTGACTTTCAGGTTTTGATAAATAGTATTCCAGTAGATTAGTTTGTGAAAGAGACTTTTACTTAGTTTATTCGAAAGCTGCCTTTCAACCAATTAAATACCAAACCAAAGAAAGGGAAGTAAATTTTTATTTATAACTTTAAAAAATCTTATAGCAGTATATGCCTATAAATAAATAGACATCGCAAACGGATTGTATCATGCCGACCTGGAAGACAATGAACTAAGGTTTTAACACAGACTAAATGAATAAAATTAGTCACAGTTTCAATGTATGCAGTACTTCTATATGACACAAAATATGGAAGTTTTACGTCAGGTAATGTAAGAAATTACTTTCATCCTTCTAACTTTTCAATGTAAGGTTTAAACATAGAAAAAACATTTCACTGAATTCACCAGAATCAATATTCCTCAATTTAACAACCATATTGAAAAAACGATCCATTTCTCAATTATTTAAATCTATTTTCTACGAAGTTTTTATTGTGTTTATATGTGGATTTATCGGTTGACACACGAAATACAAACATTTTGAACGAAAACTTACAAAAGAAATAATGTAATTACCAAAGAATTTCCCATTACTGCTAATATACCAACAATACCAATATAAATTCCTACTAGATAGTAATACAATGGATCAGGTTGAGTAAATTTATGCCAATGTGGATGAACGATTGACATGAAATCATTATCATCTGGCCAAAGAGTAGCAAATGTTAGGTTTTGTTTCATGTTGACCGTTGCAATTAAAATTTATAATCTGTCAATCAATAAATGAAAAGGTATAAGCATATTTTACTACATGTAATATTATGTAAAAATCAATTCTGAAATAATTAGGAAACAACTGGAGTTTTGTAATTCTTTTCAAAACCTGTTGTTTACGTCTTTAACCTTTTTTTACTGTCAAAGGTAATAGGTTTTTCTTAGTAAAATAATTAATCTGATATATTTAATTACAATAAAATCAAGAATAAAAATGAATATTAGATAAAGGACACATTTAAACAACTATGATTTAAAGTGATTATTCCCGCTTGCCCTCGCATTAATGAACAACCTTGCTTTTTTTCTCCCTTTGAACTTTTTAAACCTGTGACCTGACAATATAATCAGTTATTACTATTTCGAAATGGATATAAAAATCAATTATTTGTACAATGATTACATTTTTAATAATAATGAGAACTAATAATCCTTCTATTACTAGTTTAGATTCAAGTTAGAACGTTGTGTTACAGCTATTGATAATTTGTTTCTCAGAGTGCTATATTTTTATATATTTGGGCAAAATAAAGAGTGGAACTTGACATATTAATTATATATTTTAATAGCGTTTAAACCAATTACTGCCTTTTTAAAAAAATATTCGTGGTCATACCCTCAAAAGTTTTCGTAGCGAGTAAATACAAAATATCACAATCATCCCAATATCAGCCGTCATATAATTCATTGAGGTGATTGTATAGAAAATAAAATCAGGATCTTGGAAAAACAGAAAGCCAATAATTCTAATCTGCGGTTTATTAATGGTATCTTTTAATCACTATATTCAGTGATACAGATAAAGTCTAACAGTAGGTTATGGTAAAACATAAGGATAGACTAATTCCTCATTCAGTTATATTTATTGATATAAATTCATGTGTTGGAGGTGTTATAATAATTATCATTTCAAGAGTTAATCTCTATCCTTAAATGAGATATTTTATGATTTACAAATTATATGATGGTCAATACTTTTCAAATGCATAATTATAACCACACTGGTTAAGTATTTTGTTCATTCAACCGATTCTTAACCGCCTGCTGAACTCTACAAGATTTCGTCTTCTGTTAATTGAACAATCAGTAATACTGAGAATCAGATGTCATAATTATGAAACAAATAAATATATTTGTCCCTATCTTGGAGTGTTTTAAGATTAATAGGTACTTAAAAAATGTCTTGCTAACAAATATGACCTCTCATATTTCTAGTATATAAGTGTACTTGTATTTATAATTACAGGGATAAAATTTCCAACTTTTTGCATGCACACAAGTGACAAAAGTAAATTTTCTTGTTAAGTACAAATAGAAGTTGATGCATTGTTCAGACTACTTGAAAACCTTTAAGTTCAATGTCGATATTATTCAGATAATTTCTGTTTGCTTACTTTAATATAACAACCAGACTATCAGTTGGACACAATATGTATGATTTTGCTATCATTTCGGCTTACTTTTGAAACATGACTTCATGGGATGTTTTAAGTATATGAGTTGAATACAGATCAACTGGAAAACACATTTCTTGTATCAGTATGACTAGAATTTGTATGCTTCTTTGAATAAAGCCCTAATACGATACAACGAAAATTAATTTGCACTTTGATTTTAGTGTTTTAAAAGTTATTATCACAGCTTATTAATTATGGAATAGCCACAGATTAGTTATAATATCTGATCTCAGTTTTACACTCAACAAAGAATTTCGCGATGCCAACTGTAGAATTTTTCTTTATCGGAACAGTATCTCAGTGCATCATATTCTTTACCTGTTTTGTAAATTCTGTCCATTTAGTACCTAAATTGATTTTTAATGTCGAAGTCTATTCAGTGACGTTCTTTGTATCATTTAAAGCATAGTACATAATAAAGTGTAAGGATTTTGTTTCGTTATTCCTAATATTAATGGACAGAAAATGACTTGATAACCGTCATTTAATTATTCCTTCGGAGATGTCTGTGGCTGTGGGGGTATATACTGTTATCCACTTAAAATAACTTCGTTGAGATCATGAACCGATTTAAGCTGGATCAATACTACAAAACCTAGAAGCACTAAACGGCTGTTTCGTCCTAGTCAGTGCGCACCCACGATAAAGATGAGGAAACCAAACTCAGAACCTTCGGACTCGCACACTAACGCTTAGCCTGAAGAGCGCTGAGTCGGCATTGAACGTTCCCAGCGTATAACTTCAATGAATCCACCACATTGTTCAAGCATTTTCATCGTATTCGGTGGGTAACTATCTCATACCCGACCCGGTTCAGCTTCACTGGTCACGAGACCAATGATCGGTGGTTGCATTATCAGATATGGGGTTGATGATGCTTACTACTATGAAGCCCAATACTAGATGGAAACAGCCGTCCAGTGCTTCTCGGTTTTCAGTGGTGGTCTACCTTAGATTGGTTCATGGTCTAAATGAAACTCACCAATCTCTTTAACCCCTTACTAACAATTAAAATTATCTGTTGATGGAGTTAGTTAGATATGAACTTTCCCAAGATGGTTAAGTGAAAGACATTTCTTACACTTACATTGGACACTACAATCCAGACAATATTTGTATTTATAATAACCGATAAGTCATATAAGTGTAAAGTAGTGTAAGTTTGACTAGAATATGTAATTATCATGATTACGAAAAACGCAATTATTACTAAAGTGATACAACAAAGAAAATAAATAATCATGAAATCGAAATCTTTTAACACTTTGGAATTTAATGAGAAAAGTGAATTTAAGGGCGTTTCCTCAGAAACAGGTAACATTCAGAAAATTTGAGAAGTGTAATCTGATATAGTATTTTCTTCATTAGATTAAAGTAGATATGAGATTAAATCAAATTGCATGTTTGTCACTTTATTTCAACAATTATATATAAAAGAAGTCAGAAAATAATATGTTTCTTATTATTTAAATTAAAGCAAATTAAATTCATGAACACTGACTATATACAAAATATGAGGTTCAGGTTTCTACTTATATCTTTCTACAATTATAAGCATTAGAATAGCTTGATAAATGGTTGGGTTTGAGGTTGCAGTACTAAGAAATCCTACGGTAGGGTGAAACAGATTTTATAGACTTTATATCTTTTAATGATTGTTTAGCCAAAGTCGGTTCATGATATAAACCAGCTTAAAGAATTTTATTATTTTTGTAGCTAAACAATATGTAATGCACACTATATATAGCAGTAAGTGTAATATTATTACTAAACTGCACTGAATCCTTTTAGTGATTAGTTCAAAACCAAGCCACTATCGTTAACAGACTAACTAGATATTGATAATAGTTTTCATGAATGAAAACAGCTTATGGCACATTTTAGTTAAATGAAATTGAAATTGAGTTTCAAGGATTATAGTACCATTGACTCTGAAATTCTTTTGAATTGAGATAGGTTTTCGTCATGGATGTTTCTGATGACAATCCTTAAAATAATTCAAACTGAACAATTATGTTCAATATTTTCTAGTTTCTGATGTGTTACAGTTTAAACACTTTATTCAGTAAGTGTTTCAGTTTATATTTTCAATGAAATACACGATGTTCTACGGAACATAAAGCTTATATCTTGGAGTTAGTTTTTAAGACGAGTAGTTTGTTATTTGAATTATATGAAGGTGTTTCCTTCATCTATACAACAAAGATATATCGGTACACATTAAAAATACGTAACTACCAACTACTTCAATTTATAACTTAGGTAATTTGAATATTAGCGTCTAGATACAATCATCTATTTAAAAAGGCATTATTGAAGCATATTCCTAATTTATTTTGAACTCCAACAGTGGATAAACGTTTAGAGTTGACAAAATTATAGTTAGCATTCTTTCGTTCATACAATTCATTTAAAAAGATGAACTTAGGATTATTATCCATTCGATGTTTCATTGTATGGAAACCAATAACTTGCTGAACATGGCACAGCATGGTTTTAGAAAGGGTCTATCCTGTACAACGAACCTCCTTATAGCTAGGGAGCTCTGGATTAATGCGCTAGACAACGGAAACTCAGTGGATGTTGTCTACATAGACTTCAGTAAGGCTTTTGACAAGGTGCCAACTAATAGACTGCTATTGAAGTTGGCAAACCTTGGTATTGCCGGACCTCTTTTAAAATGGATTAAGGATTTCCTAGTAGGTCGTAGGCAAAAAGTAAGAATAAATTCCAAGTGCTCCATCTGGAGACCAGTACTTAGTGGAGTACCCCAAGGTTCCGTCCTAGGTCCTTTACTTTTTATAATGTACGTTAATGATCTTACAAGTATAGTACAGTCTCCAATGTTATTATACGCTGACGATGTAAAAATTTGGCGAGTAATAACTGGAGACACAGACACATTTACTCTTCAGGCGGACTTAAATAATATGATAAACTGGTCTAAAGAGTGGCTAATGCCTATCAACTCGGAAAAGTGTGTCTACATGCACTTGGGGGATTCAAAGGTTAATACGTACAACATAGGAGATGTGTCATTACCCGTAGTCCGGTCTCATAAGGACCTAGGGGTGACCGTGAGCAATGATCTTAAGACGACGGCCCATTGCCGGGAGGTCGCAGTTAAGGGGTTTCGAACCCTCTGGGCTTTAAAAAGGACATTCACTAAGCTTGATACTACCATGTTCACCACATTATACACATCCTTAGTGAGAACTAAGTTAGAGAACTGTGTTCAGGCTGCAAGCCCCTGTTTAAAAGGTGACTCAGACATACTAGAAAAGGTACAGAGGGCAGCTACGCGTGCGATTCCGGAACTCCGGGGTTTATCATATGAAGAGCGGCTTGAAAAACTGAACCTCTTTACTCTGTCCTATCGCAGACTAAGGGGAGATCTAATATTGATGTACAGAATACTGAGAAATGATTTCGGACCTAACTTATTCTCTCTCTTTCTTCCCACTAGATCGGGACACCTCAGAGGACATAGTAGGCGAGTAGAAAAGCCAA